TATATTTTTATATAAATTTATCATTATATCTCTTAATTTATTAAGAAGTAAAAAATATAAAATTTTGAAAAAACTGTAATGTAGATATATACTAGACAATTAAATTAAAAAATATGACATTAACTATTTAAATATAACAATAACCTTATCCTATATAATAGAATGTATAATATTTTTCTATTATAAATCTTTCTCTACAAGTTCAAAGGTTCAAATTGCGCATTTTTATTTGAAGTCTCCTGCTTTTATTAATTAAGATATCCCTTTTGGAGACATTTACTATGTTTATTGACTATTATTTGATTGATTGTAATGAATTATAAATATAAATAAATACCCTCAATTATGATAATAATTGATAATAAATTAGTTTTCTCTACTAAGTAAGAAAAACTAGGTGATGCTATTATCACACTTTCAATTACTAATACTATATTTTTTTATATAAATTTATCATTATATATATCCCTTAATTTATTAAGAACTGAAAAATATAGAATTTTGAAAAAATATTGTAATGTGGATATATAATAAACAATTAAATTAAAAAATATGACATTAACTATTTAGATATAACAATAATCTTATCCTATATAATGGGATATATAATATATTTCTATTTTAAATCTTTCTCCACAAGTTCAAAGGTTCAAATTGTGCGTTCTTATTTGAAGTCTCCTGCTTTTATTAATTAAGATATTCCTCTTGGAGACATTTACTGTATTTATTGACTATTATTTGATTGATTCTAATGAATTATAAATATAAATAAATACAATGTATTTTAAGCCGTTGTAATTAAAATCAAAGAATTAAAAATATGCTTTGTCTTGTTTAAGGCTTCATCTAGATAAAAATTAATTTGTTTTGACTTTCTGATAATGAACATCTTAGAAAAAAAAAGTTTATAATTATATTTTAAGATTTTATTATTAAGAAAAATTGTCAATAAATTATTTTTTAATCTTAATAATTAGAAAGCAAAATATTTCTTCTTCTTTTCACATAAATTATATCTTAGGGTGTTCCCAAATGAATTTGTGCCACCTCAACTATTTTTTTTTTTTTTTCAATCTTGGTGCTACCGTAGTTCTAATCCTTCCTTCCTCGTCAAAGATAAATTATTTACATCGGGACTAGAGGGAGGAAGTAAAACATTTCTTTGCTGCTTCCCTTTTCTCCACAATTTTCTAGTACTTTGAATGACGCAAGCTTTCATTAATTGTGGAAGACTTTTCCACCAAATTAGGCCTATATAAGGTAAGCTGAGAAGTGTGTGGCAATGCATCCCTCCTTTGATCAATACACATAGCTTTCTCTCTCTCAGTTATCATGGCTAAGATACTATCCTTAGCCAGTAAACATGGTTTCATGACATCAACAATGCTCCTCTTCAGCCTTCTAATGGCCGTCCTCTCTACCACAAGTAATCTCTCACTCTGTATATCTGTTTTGATTTTTCATTGAACAAAGAAAATTAGCATCCGTTTAATATGATTATAGTTTTCATTTTTGTTTTGCTTTTTAAAAATTTAGATATCCTAAAATAAAATTAATAAGTTTTATAAATTAATTAAGTTTTTAGT